ATATATAATTTCCACAAGCGCTTCTGAAAAACATGAATATATAAAACTGATGTAACTAATATATGTAGCCTACCTGTATGATAACTACTTTTGCTTCTCGTTCTTGCAAAATCTTATCGCATTTCATTTTTTGGTAAAGTGTCCGTGCAAGCCACCCACGAACAAATTTCTGAAATTAGAAATAAGGAGATGGCAAAGCATAACAGCCTCTAATAATATAAGTCGAAAATATTCCCAAAACACAAATACCACTTGCATAAGCTCTTAGACAAGATACCGAGAATATTTACAGAAGTCTATCTCACATATACAATATATAATTTCCAAAACGCCCCTAAAAACATGATTTGAAACTGATGTAACTGATATATGTAGCATACTTGTATGATAACTACTTTTGCTTCTCGTTCTTTCAAAGTTTTATCACACTTCATCTTTCGATAAAGTGTCCTTGCGAGCCATCCACGAAAGTATCGCTGGAAATAATATTAAACAAACATTAAAAAGTGACTTAATACTAACGAATTTTTGTAAGTTTGTACAAATTAAAAAGCGATTGTGATGTGATATTAGTTTTTTTCCTTTCATCACTGATTTCAATGGTTATGTTTTGCACTGTTCCAAAAAAAGTTCCAGCATCATATTTACCTGTATTGTGAATGAAGCCTCCATTCGTTTCGAATCTTCTTTTGTTATTGTCCGAGACGACTCCGCCAACCGATCTGGTGTATGCACCTGGAAAGAGTCTATAAGATGTTTAGAATATAAGTGATAGTAAAACTTTTGTTCTTCACTTCACATAAAATTTTTTTCTGCCTTACTCCTAACAAAACTGAAACTGGTAATCTTGTATAATTATTTCTTATTTCAGCTCATTTCTTATTTTTATAATTTAGTGAATTCTTGTCAATACAAAAGTTGCTTTCCTTAAAAAAAATTACAAAATATCTAAAAGTAGTGCAAAATATCAAAAATACACGTGAGGAAGTTTTCTCCAAAAGTTTCGCAATGTACGGAAGTTTCTTCTCCAAAAGCATTACTTTATGAAGAATATCGTAATTCATCTTTGAGGTGCTGCGATATCGTCGGAAGGCGCGTTGTATTATAATTGCAGCGGAAGTGATTTTATAACATTCATATATGCGTGATATGAAAATTTTAGTGAAGAGACAGAGTGTTTCTCCTTTAGGTATGTCTTTCCATTGCATCAGTATTGATGACGGAATCCCAAAATGATGCTCAGCCTACAATATCATGTATTTGTACCAAATATCAATCAAATAATTTATGACCTTAACTGATGTTCAATTATTACTTAGATGTTATAATCAGTAAAGTGGTAATAGACTTACAGCACTTGCAATTTGCTCTAAAACTGTTGAGCCGTCAAAGAGTTCAAACGGTGTGTTGTATGAATAATATTGTTTCCACAATAAGGAAAACAATTTTCCGTCAGCAAGTTCTAGAGGATTTCGTATCTAAAAAGTGGAAAAATATGTTGCATGCATAACCATTTATTTTACTGCATACCGAACATTCACAAATTTATTCCAACCTCATATGATATGCCGAACAGGCTCAGAAGCTGTTGAGATATTGAATCAATCCCAGCATGGCAATTATCTGATTTATTGACATTACCCTAAAATCAAAAACCGAAGGTATATGAAATTAATAATAAATAAATCATAAAAATTATGATGTAAACAGTTCAGTGAGAAGCTAAAGAAGCTAAGATTGTACCAATTCTTTGCTAGCAAATCGCCAGAGAAGTGTTATAATTTCATCGATATTTCCTTGCAAGATACCATTAATGTCCACACATAAGTCTCCAATAAATTTAAACATTACTCACAAGTTATTTTAAGAAAATTTAATGAATTTTATTCTACTTATTCAAACCTCAATAAATAAAAAAGTTATCACTTTGTCTAAAAATTACATCCCACCTTCAGGAAGAATTCCTTCCCGTTTTGCAAAATCAATCACTGTTTTAACATTGCTCAATTTACGAAGTCGATCACCACCGGGATCACGTAAACAATGAATTACTGTGTTATACTGAAGATTAGCTAAAATTTCCACTGTTCGCCTGAAATTTACTTCTTTTAAATTATCACATTAAATACTGCTCAGAAACATATTAGGGAATTATTACCCGAGAATCATTCCATTACTAAGGTCCTTCAGCGGATCAGCTACGTAGTATTGGAACTGTTCAAAAAATCCTTGTTTGCGATCTAGAAAAAGACCCAAACGAGAAAGGGTTTTCGGCAAGTTGCTGGTACCAGTCATCAGTTCCCGACTTAATACTGCCACCACATCATTGATACTCTGAAATATAAGTATTTGATCAATCACAGAGGTAGTTTATGCAGCGATGTATCTGTTTATAAGAGGAATACATCAAAAATTTCCAAAAAAAAAAAGATTTCCCACCTTATAAGCTGACCATTTAACAAAAAGACAGCGGTTTTTCCTCGATATTCTGTTATCTCGCCATGCCTTGTCAACAATAAATAAAAGCTGGCATATTTTTATCAAGAAATGCTGGAGAAGAGCTTCCGCACCTCGGTTGTTGATGAGAATCCTGAAAAAACTGAATTGATCTTGTTCATTAATAAAAACTCATTCATATTCAGGCCTTGAGAAACTTACTTTGCTCTTCCTTGCACGTATTTGCGATTATTCATGATTTTGGAATTCTTAAAGATGTTTTCGGTAACTACAGAAGCAATGATTCTGAGTTGGCTTTTGTCGTCAGTTCTTTTTTGTATTTTGGTGGACAAGACAGTCTCCAGGCCCAATCGAAGATAGAAAGGATGAAAGCTCAGGAGTAGACTGAGCAATTTCATTTGTAGCCCTGAAACTGCTCCAATCACAATTTTTTGACAATTTATAGGAATTTCTAGTGTCAAGCTAATGTTTTAGTATTAAATTTTATATTGAAATCAGTTTAAGAGAAAAACTTGCCGACGTCAGCGTAAACCCGCTTATCCATTCTAACTGCAATTTTACCATCCTTCACGAGGGTAGAAATATCATTCGGGATAGATGAGCTTTCGTATAATAAACGAAATCTAAAAAGCTCTTGAATACAGAGAAAATAATTTGAAATCGACTTCATAATTTTTCATTTGATTGTTAATTAATTCAACGTCACCTGGCTCGCATTTCACTGAGTTCATTTGCAGTCATGAAACACTTGTAATTAATGCCATTTTGCGGTTCATTATCTTTCATCGCCGGAATGTCGTTTTCCAAAGTCAATAGTTTCCTCAAGTACAGATCAGCATCTAAGTTAAAACAGCGCATAGACAACAATAAATGAAGCGTTACAAAATTATACAAAACTGAAAAACTGCAATGAAAGCTCAAATAAGGGTTAAAATAAATTATGAGTGGTTACCTTTTTTGCTCTTAGCTAGAATTTCGCTGCTGTTATAGGGGTCACTTTTTTCATCAAGTAGATAATTCAACCATGATGTCAGTGCTGCTAGGTGAGCTAACTTTTCATCCATTTCTGTTTTCTTGCATCGGTCAGTGAAACTATGTCCAACTATAAAAGAGATTAAAAAAGTCAGATAATGTCAAATAATCAAATAATTGAGAAACTCTAGAAAAGCAGAAGAAAAAAGTGAAAAAGCAAAGCGTAAAAAAAACGGATTTTTAATTAACTTTTAAATTAAGCTTACTTAATCTTCGCCAGAATATAATCATAATCGTAATTCTTTCTTTAAATAATAATAACTTTCACTTATTCTTTAACAACAAAATATGGTGAAAAACTAGAACAAAGGTATATGAAGAAAATTGTAATATAAATACAGGTGAGATAAGAAGTTAAATAATTAAACTTAAATTATTTTACCTTCATGCACTAAGGGCTGAATAACGTAAGTGGCGTTTGCTGCTTTTCTGTAATTAGAAATGGAACTGAGAGTGGTATTCAGCGGTATTCGGAATGAGACGTTAGCATCTTCATTTCTTTCATGATCATCGATGGAGTTTAATGCTGCAGGAACGGAGCTCAAGAATTTTCTTTCTGCCTTATGCAAGCTGATGTGATCATGAGACAAACTTGATTCTAGAAAATTTGCACATCATTGTATTCCAGAGATAAAATATGAAAGATTATCTGAAAAACGGCGAAATCCTCCCTTAGGTAAGACTGTAACTTACTTTTAGTTGTTGCTTTTCGTAGTTCGTATCTTTTTTTCAGGAGTTCCAATTTTTTCTTCATTGTTGTGTCTGAAGCGTTAGTACCGGGTGAAAAGTGCAACGAAACTCCGGAACGAAAGTTGTAGATATCATCGGCTGAAAAGTAGAATAATATTTTTGATAAACATATAAATTAACTAAGCCAACTTGCTCATAAATAAGAACTAAAAGAGCAGATTAAAATTTTTCAAATAATCCAACTCAGACGCAGGACTATCCTATCAACTATTCTGGCACTTCAGAATGTATGGGGCCAATTAACTAGCGCATAATTAGCAATTTAAAAATAAAATTGAGTTTATACCTGAAGATGTTTTCTGGTGTATTATCCGCTTATCCGAAGAACCATACGAAATAGAAAGAGATGCATCCTGTGATAAAATTTGAATTTCAGTGAAAAATAAGATGCCTTGCTTTTCAAAAACCGACAACGGTCCATAAGCATTGAACGAAATGATAAGTAATAACAAGGAAACATATTTCTTGTTTTGCAGTGCAAGGCTAGTAAGCATTAGATAGAAAACCATCTATGAAATTAAAAAACCTCTCATTAACTACTACCTTGCAAAATTTCAAATTTTGCAGGAGCCAATTTTTTATTAAAAAAACCAGTTCAGTAAAGTAGCGAAAATTCTTACCTCTTTGTTGCGTATGTCCTTCAGAAGTGTCTGACTTTGAGACCAGTGACGAAATGAATCCAATTGTGAATCGTAAATAGTGGTTTTTGTAAAATTCGACCGATTGTGGCAGGGAGTAGATGTAAACTCATTCTGCAGCAAAGTCCATGGAAAAACATTGTTGTACATCGGCGGTGGTAAATGATCCCAAATGATTTTGCCTTCACATCGTTCATCACTTACTTTCCCTACAAATCATGCCATATACTCAAACTATCACTAGAGTTAGAAGAACTCTCACTCTCTATAGCTGTCCTCCTTTTAGACCGGAGTTAAAACTTCGCGAAAGATCAATCAACCAAATAATTCTTACTAATTATCTTTTCATTAGACGCCGCTGCTTCCAATCAATCAGATTAAGCTGATTATTTAAAACCCTAAATCCTTCACGAAACTTTTTCCTATGCTTACACGAGCCATAGAGAGTGAGCTTAATCTGAGTTCCTCGTTGACATTTTCACATCATGATGATGTGTAATCATAATCGTGGGATACATTTTCACATCATGATGATGTGTAATCATAATCGTGGGATAGTATGATAAAAGGAGACAAAAGCAAATGAACGATAAACCTTCACAGACATGCGGCACCGTTCCCTTGAGACTTTCTGTTGGGATATGCTCCATCTTACGTTCACTCTGATCCATCGATTTTATTCTTTCTGAATAATAAATCATTATCGATTATTTCAAGAAGAAAAACTTCACTTATCACCGAAGTGCTCCAACTCCGATGTACAACGATACAAACAGAGTGAGAAACATAGTGAGTTACCTAAATTTGCATAAGTTAAATTTGTACTTGGAAATATTTCGACTACAATGAATAAGTAACTCGATCTGTCCAATTGTACTATTTTCAAGTTTTTAAATCCTCTGATCAGTTAGATTGTTGTGCAAACTTGTTGCTGCCATTTTTCCTACTCAAAATATTTATAATTCAAATTCTGTCAATTTATTAGTCTACTTCTACTAATGCTTATAATTAAGAGAGATGTATACAAGTATGGTAACTCTTATGGGAATTGCATATGAATATTAAAGTCTTCATCAGAAAAACTGCAAATAATGCAGATCATAAAATTCTGAAGAGAATGCGAATTAACTAATGTTTAGATCGTTATACTTCTTACTTTCTCCTGGTATATTCTATTCGAAATTTGCTACATCGGGAGAAAAGTATATTATCAGAAACTGTCATCATTCCTACCTCTCTTTATTGTGGAAATACAGGAAGCAGAAGTAAAGTATACAAACCACGTGATGTCCCAAACGTCAATGACACAGGATTCGGAAATATGCTTCCAAGTCCAGAAACACGCCCTTCGGAAATATGGCTTAGGAAGCTGCAGACACAAATTTCAAAATTGAATTACCCGCAAAATTTTGCGCCTGTGTAACAGCCCTCAAGCACGTTGCATATTCCTCTCGCATGTTGCATGTTTTGCATGTATTCGTTTGTGCTGAGTTAGCGTGCATCATTTTCGTATGGTAGTAAATTTATCGATCAAATTCGAATTAATCTTTCGAATTTGTTCTTAAATTTTAAACTTTAAATCTTCTTCAAAGCTTTCTCGCTGTTTGAAAGTGAAATTTTCGATCATCCGAGAAATTTATTCTTATTTGACTTTTACAGTCAGTTTTGTCTGTTTGGATAGCAAATCAAAATTAGGGGATTCCACTACAACTTACTGCTAGTTTTATTGCGTCATATTGTGTCTATATAGAGGTATGCCAAGGCTGGTGGAATAACTGTCAAATGGGTTTAGACCGTTCATTGGTAATAAACTAGGCATTCTTCTCACAGTTTTCTTGATCGACAGACCCGTTATGGAGAATGATGTTGAACTAGCTATTTTTTGCTGCGCTTTTCCAAATCGGTTATCGTGTCATAGAGAGTGCTGTTAAAATAGCGATGAATTAATAGCCTTCTAACTGCCAGAAGTACTTCGTGTTTCTCAATTTCTGTTACATTTCTAAAATACTTTGAATAGCTTTTCAGTTGGATAATATTCAGAAACACATTGGATAAGATGGCTAACATTCGGGACATCAATAGTGCAAGTTATTTATTGCTACCGTTATAAGTACTGAAATTGATTTTAAAAGGTTGACAGTATTCCATGAAAAAGAATTATGTCGTAACGATTTGAATTTTATTTACACTGAGCGAAATATAGTCACCTATCGTCATCACTAATCCATTTATAACATATTTATAACATTACATATCTTTATGTATTTAGTAACGACTCAATTCTTGTTGAATGGTTTCATCATATGTACTTTCTAAATAGAAAGTTAGATGTGATCCAAAGATTATGCAAAATCAGTTAAAGCTATTGTGGTATCTCTGGACAACTTTAAAATATTATGTTAAAAGAAAAAAAGGAAAGCAGGAATCGTTCACTACATCTTTATGTTTATTATAAGTTATAGTGTATTCGAGAACTTTGGCTTAAAATTTTAGGTTTGTAGAATTATAACGCGTGCAATAAGTGGTGTGAAATTAGTGAATCCTTCGGCCGCTTTGTACCCTGAAACGGGTGTGTGTTTGGACAACAAACCAATTAGATTGAAGCTAAGAAAAGGCGAACAATATTCCTGGTGTTCATGCGGTTTATCCGGAGCACAAGTAAGAGCATTCAGCTTTTGCAAACAATTGCTGTACATTTCATATGTGTTTTATTTTTTTATAAACTGCGGATTACAAACTTAATAGTTTTTTTCTTGTGTTAATTTAATAGATCCATTCCAAACTGCTACTTATTTTTCTATTACGTTGAAATCATGATAACCGTGATATTTTAGCCGTGGTGTGATGGCAGTCATAACGCAGAAGGTGTTACAACGTTAAGACCTGTACTTTTCGAAGTCGAAAAAGATGGAGAATACAACATTTGCGTATGCAAAGCAACAAAAAAACGTCCGCTATGTGACGGTTCCCATGTAAAGGTATAATTACTTTAGTAATTAAAGTAGCGTTGTTGATTCTTGAAATTTAAACATTTTTTGACATTTTTTCCTGAATTCCCTAAAGAATCGAATATTTTGGAAAATATTTCCATGATCATCGGCAACTGTCCCTCTGTGAAAAACTGCTGAATTATGTTCAATCATACTTAGTAAATTCGTTTATCAGTATGAAGTATAGATTCGTTTTGTTGGTTTTAATTCAAAGTACAATTCGATTTAAATTTACGATGAATCTTTTGTTTAATGAGTTGCAGGTACAAAAACGGCGATATAAGGATCCACCTCAATATTGTGCATATGCCGAATCACCTGTTTATGAAGGGGTTGCCAATAAGCTCGGATATAAACCAAAACAAGAGCGTTGGCACTTCTAAATTTTGTAAATGTAAAAAAAGAAATGAGTATATGTGTAGTGTTTAGTCATATGTTTAGTTCTTTTGCGCAATTAAATTAAACATTCAAATTTTTAACTTCATTTCGAGCCGACATTAAAACGGAAATCAGAAAAGAAGAATATATACATATTGCTAATCTATCAAAATATTTTATGTAAGTGCAAAGCAAATTTTATCACTAATTACAACACGAAATACTCGGGTGCTGGTCTCGAGTTTACTCATTTAGAGCAAAAACATATATCCTGCTAGACAAAGAAATTCATATAGTTTCATTTCAATTGCATAGAAAATTGCTTACGTCACAAAATTCTCGGCAACATGCCCGATTCCATAAAACGTTTACCGGTTTTCTCGAATAATTAGATGCCACAAAGAAAGTAAAGGATTATCCCTTTCCTCTGCAATAATGTTTTACAAATTTCCGAAGAAAAATTTTAGTTTCGATTAGATATATCTCCACATATTAATTTTAATGATTGCTGAGTAGATAGTGTTTGTGCGATCGCAAGTTGGCAAGAGCAAGAATGAAACTATAAGCATCTTGCTATTGTAAAAACAAATTGTCAACTGCTCACGCGCTGATAAGTTGATAAATCACCTAATTAAATTATCCTTCATGTAGTATAATTTCTGAAATATACTGTGATATATTTAGTGTTGTGAATAGTAAATATGAGTAATTCTTTTGGTTCCTCGCATTATTTTTTATTCCAATGTAGCGAACTGTTTATCTATCGTACCAAAAAATCATGACTGATTGGAAGATTCTGGAAATTGCCCGGATCTTCATTTTATTATACGAATAATGAAAAAATTATTTCATACATAATGCAAAGAATGTGAGATAATGCAGTATAACTTTTATCGTGAAATAGCTATCACCAGCGACTAGAATCCTTTTCCGGATTCCACCAGCTTATGAGCAATTGTGTACAATCATTCTGTTGACCCTTGCTACCTCAATAACCGCTTCTTCTCGATGACACATTTTTGATATCTCGATAATATGTCAAAAATTTTTATAATGATTACTCGTATTTCATTAATCAGCACTAGATATACTCCCGTGGTATTCATACGGATCCTCTGAATCACTCGAAAATTTTCTTTTCCTCTAACTTCTGAAATTTGATCTATTTGGATGTTCTCAATCTTCGTAACAAATGCTCCGCTCTGCCAGATTAAGCCAAATAATGACGAAGTGTGCGATGATATTGCGTTGGGATGATGTCTAATATTACTAGATGAGATATAATGTTTCATTCTGTGGTATAGTAAGGGCCTGCGTTATTTCTTAACAGTTTTGGGCGTAGTTGAAGGCTTGGTTACTCGTTTGTTTTGGGTCGTTTGTAGTTTGAATACTGTGGTGTACGTTTTGGGTTTTATTGCTCAACTCATAACGTTTCAACGTGTACGCATCCTTTCGTACTTGTATGTAGATACAGTTTTCCTTATGAATAAATTTTAATTAATATGAACGATAGAGTCCACTCCGAGAATTTTGAGTTTGCTGTTTGTTGCTATTAATATTAGGCCAATGCTATTACAAAGTTCCTGCAATATTTTCACTTTAAATTTAGTCTTGATTTTTTCTAATTTCAAACAAATGCTAATCTTTTAGGTATTCGTTAACCACGGTAAGATGCAGATATTTGTGAAGACACTAACTGGAAAGACGATCACCCTCGAGGTAGAATCATCTGATACTATTGAAAATGTGAAGGTTAAAATTCAGGATAAAGAGGGTATTCCTCCTGATCAACAACGACTTATTTTCGCAGGTAATTTTTATATTATCGTTTATACCAGTTCTATAAAAATTTTTTGTTGTATGATGTGGCATAACGTGGCTCTACTTCGGTTATGATGATATATTGGTGTTCAAAGGTGTCCTGGCCTATGAGAGTACCGTGACTTAAAACGTTCACCTCTGAGTCGAAGTATCCTCGAAGTTGAAATGTTTGCCACTCTTATGGTACTTTCCGATGTTTCCTACATTTTCAATCATCTTAACCTTGAAATGGCTGATTTCCGAGTGTGTTATACGTCAGTATAATACATGATGACGTACCAGCAGTACTCATATTTTGATTTTTTCTAACGAATAGGCAAGCAGTTGGAGGATGGTCGAACGCTGTCAGATTATAATATTCAAAAGGAGTCGACGCTTCACCTTGTGTTAAGGTAAGCGATTTTTTATAGAGTCGGATATAATTGATTTATTTGTTTCGTGGTTGTGATGCTACTTTGCTTTGGTGCACAGATTTTGATGAATGAAATATAGCTCTCTGAGCCACGAATGTATATTTTAAAGTGGTAGAGAAACATTTTCTTGTCTAAATTTACAAAATAATAGATTGCGAGGTGGTGGAAAAAAAAGGAAGAAGAAGGTTTATACTACGCCGAAGAAAAACAAGCATAAGAGGAAGAAGGTCAAACTTGCTGTCTTAAAGTACTATAAGGTAAGTGGTTATGGATTTCATCGAGCTGTTCATGAAAGAGAAGGGTTTATATTTTGCATCTACGTTTTAAACTCGAAAGATTGATCATTTGATCGGTTATGGTTACATCTGGCGCGTCGTTATCTTTTGAGTTCCTTTTTCCAGTTTTTCGAATTTCAGGTCGATGAAAATGGTAAAATTACTCGTTTACGAAAGGAATGTGCTTCGCCATCATGTGGTGGAGGCGTTTTCATGGCTAGTCACCAAAATCGATATTACTGTGGCAAGTGTCATCAAACATTGGTAATGCAAGACCCGAAAGAAAAAACTGCTGGAAAAACTAAATAGATTTATGTTATTATTTAAATCGTTTTTTGGAAACACGCAATAAATTTCGCAATAAATTCAATTTTTGTATACCCGTGTACTTCGTTCCAGATAGTTGTAATGGAAACAAATTTAAGAAAAAATTAAAACAACTTCGCATCCAAACGGAAATAGGGGAAAGGGTTGTTTCAAGGTAATAGGGCTGCTGGGTAGTTTGTAGCGAGTGCTGAAGATGAAAGAATTTATCATTTTGAGAGCTATGTAGTTTTCGCAACAGAGTTGTAACTTCATTAAAATCAAGTAATTATGAGATGGTTTCATGAAAGGTTAAAATTTGATGAAAATTTGCACTCTGCTGCATCTTGATTTGTACGTATTATGCTGTTGCTAAGATGATCGTATTCATTCTTCGCTATACAAATTCTTTATGAGCTTGAAAAATGATTCGCTACTATCATCGTGACGACAGCTTTTTTTGTTCTTAAATTTTGAATGAGCTATGAAATCCATAGGGATGCTGCAATACTAATAACAAATTTGTCAATGAAAGTAGAAAAAGGAAACGGAAGGTCATAAAGAATGTAGAGGTACGCAAGGCTTATTAATAAGATTAAGAAAGAAAAAACAAAGCTCATGTAAAAATATATGTGACAGCAAAAGTTTTAAACGGATTTAATATAACTGCAGAGTTGATTGGAATTTGCAGTGAATTCAGTTCATGAAGGTAGCAAAGCGCTGCAGTAGGATCTCATGTCCATCTTTTTTGCGTCTCAATTTTTTTGTGTTTCTTCATATTTCAAAGATTATTCAGAATTTTGAAAAGTACTGGAAATAGTTGACTGAAAAGCATTACTAAAAATTCCTATTGTTGAAATGAATTATTTCGATATTTTGAATGAAAGATTAATTGATACACAATAATAAAGAATAGCAGATGATGTGTTCTATAGTCTGAGTGATGCTTAGATGATTAATAAATATTTTTTAGCTAATTAAATTTCACATTTGACTAATTAAAGCTGTTCTGATACATAGATCATGAGGTGATATATTACACCAGCCACAACTAGCTTGACAATTTTCTGCCATCCATTGCCTCCTTTGAATGCATTCACCTTGCAATCGCATGTTGGAACATGAAATATGACGATCGATGCAACCTGAAAATGCTTTTCAGGAATGAAAATATGCAATTAATATTAAATAATATTTGCTTTATTTGAATTTGATTTCCAATCCAATTTCAAACTACCTTATTACAATTTAATTAATTGAAAATTCATCGAAGCAAACTTTTTTTTTGCTTTAATTTATAAAAGTTACCTTAAAACAAAATAGTTCAACTATTCAAAAGAAATTTATTGATAATGAATTTAAAGAGTTCTTAGTTGCAAAAAGAAAATGCTACCGCTTTGTTTATTGTCAATGCTTTTGCAATAGCCACAACTTTTACGACAATGTATTCTCATATATGCAATATTATTAAAACATTCACCATTCTTGGCCCATAGGCTACAGCATGGATCATCATTTAGACAAGCTGTCTCCATTACCTGTTAATTTTTAAATTATTTTAAATTACTTTTTCGTGATACTTTTTTTATTACAAAAATAATTACTAATTAAAAAAATAAAAATTTTCAATAATTCAAACTATACTGCTATTGTCTGGATAGAATTATGAAGTTGAGGAAGAGTTTTATGTTTCGAACTTGACGTATTCTTAACAGATTGCGTTACAGATAAATTTATATGACGTTGAGGCGGAGGTCGAGTGATATGTAAAGGTGTAGTGCGACGAGTAAGTCGAAATGTTGAAGTTGAAGGAGTCTAAATGGAATAGAAATAAATACTAGAAATATATAAATATATAAAACTTAGGCTAAAATCAGATTACAATATCATTTAGTTCAACATTTCATCCCATAAGTTATAATCTAGTCTAAAATCTCATCTCATTTCCATCTTTCATCACTCCACTAACCGAAGTGATAAGTTTTGGTTTGCAATAACCATTCGAACAAACTCCCATATAACATGCATCTTCACCAGCAAATTGTTCGCATGATTTTCCAAGTTTAATTTTTGATACACAATGTTCAGGACCATTTAGTAAATCGCAAAATAAATATTGTGAATGGCAATTTGGTTGTCTTTTGCTACAATTTGGTCGTAGCTGATAAGTATACATATAGTCCGTATAGGCATTCGATAAACCTACAGAATTGGATTTTCTTCTTTTATTAATTAATTTAAATTAAACTTATAGCATTATCTTTCTATCTCCCTCTCTCTCTCTCTCTTTCTCCCTCTCTTCTTTTTTTGCATATAAATTTAGAAGATGGAAAAGTTATTAAATTTACTTACCTTGTCTATTTGCTAAATTGAATGGGTGCATATTTGCATCAGCAAAATGAACTGAAGTTGTACAAGATATGATCTCTTCAGGAAAATCCTGAATTAATCAATAACTATTAATATTGCTACTCTATTTAACCTCTTTGTTACTTGAGGAAGCAAAATAAAAAAAAACAAAAAATAAAAGTTAAAATTTGTCAGTCTTTATAATTTACGGAATACATACTTGTTCACGTTCAGCCTTTATACGTAATATAAAAACGTCAGTCTTTATAATTTACGGAATACATACTTGTTCACGTTCAGTCTTTATAATTTACGGAATATAAAAACGTCAGTCTTTACAATTCACGGAATACAAAAACGTCAGTCTTTATAATTTACGGAATACATACTTGTTCACGTTCAGTCTTTATAATTTACGGAATATAAAAACGTCAGTCTTTACAATTCACGGAATACAAAAACGTCAGTCTTTATAATTTACGGAATACATACTTGTTCACGTTCAGTCTTTATAATTTACGGAATATAAAAACGTCAGTCTTTACAATTCACGGAATATAAAAACGTCAGTCTTTATAATTCATGGAATACATACTTGTTCACGTTGCATTCGATTTTGATGTATTTGTCGCCAATTTTCAAATATATAATCAACGAAAGAATGGTGAAGAAAAAAAATGGGATCATTAGCAGAGGTCATCGAAGGCTTCATATCACCACCTATCCAAATATGAACACTGGCATGATAATATTCCAGAGCAGAGAAATTTGGAGGATATGGACAAGCTAAAAGAAAAAAATAAACTTATTTTCTGAATTATTGAAATGCTAATTATTAAGCAATAATTAATGATAGCTATTGGAATTAAATAAATAAATATTGGAAATATTCAAAGAATTCTTGATATCTTTACCTTATGATAATCGAAATATCTATGCACAATTACTGCTACTTTATCGACTAATTAAAAAACTTCTCAAAATTTTATCATTAAGAATTATCATTATCATTAAGAAGTTTAAGAAATAATTTTATTGGTGGAATTTTTTGTTGATATTTTAAGAATTAAAAAATTAGCATAAATTAAACATTTTTCGGAGTGCACAGAAGTTGCTATTAAAATCAAAGAAAAGCAAAACTTTTTTCGATTGAAATTAAAAATGTTTTTTACAGGTATAAAATTTCTTCCCATTTTCCTCTTCTCTCTTTCTAATCTCTTTATGATAGAAATTATGATTATGATTATGATTGAATAATTATGATAGTAAGTTTATTCTATCATAATTTAACAATTAATTGCTATCAGATATTTGTTTTCATTAAAATTTACCATGTGTTGGTGCCGTATAGGCTAATATTCCTTCAATTGTATTTTTATCATAAACTGTGTTAATATTTTGATCTGTAAATAGATGACCTTCTTTTCCAAGATGCCTAAATGATTCAAAATGATTTGAATATTTACATCAAATTTGAGTTATATAATGAAATGATTGTAGGAAAATAATTGTTAAACCTGATTATAGTTGAATGACCTTCAAGTGTAGTAAATCCAGCAAATGGACCATTAATTACATAACCATTCGAATCACTTTCTCCCATTAAAATTGAACTCCATATAATTGAATTTCGAGGATCAGGTAAATGTTGATCAAGTGATGAATCCCAATACGGTAATGCAATTAATGGATCAATTAGACGTAGAGCAATTTCCATCCTATGAGTAAAATTCATTGAATTCATTGATTGATAAACGTGATTTTAAAATTCCTAAAAGTAAAATGACGTGAAAACTTTATGAATTAATTTGAAATTTAAATTAAGAAGAAAGTATGAACAACGAAAAAATAATTTTTCATATCTATTTTAGAAAATTTCTTCTCTTTTATTTCTTATTTAAAAGAAGAAAAAAATACTAAAAATAATTTACACTATAAATTACTTATTTGTATAGTAATTTTTTTATTGTACAAATAAATTTTAAATTTGAAATTTTATTTTTTGAAAACTTTTTTGCTTATAATTGTTATTTTTAAATGATTTAGCAAAGAAAAAAAAACATCGAAGAAGAATAATTTATTTTATAGTTTATAAAGCCATTTCAATACGATTATGAAAAAATGTCTTTTTAAATTCGAACTCTTTAAAGGTGAAATTTATCAATTCATTCTTTTCTCGTACTATTTTTAATATAAATTAAAAAGTTTTTCCGATGATTTCAAAAATACCATATAGCTTTCAGGAATGACCAATAGATTTTATTATCTCAAGAATGACCAATAGATCTTATTATCTTAGGAATGACCAGTAGATTAAATTTCATTATTTCAAGAATTATCAATAGATCTTATTATTTTAGGAATGACCGGTAGGCTTTATTATCTCAGGAATGACCAATAAATTTTATTGTCTTAGGAATGATCAATAGATTTTATTATTTTAAAGCATTATATTATTTCTTCGCCTAAAATTTATGAAACATAAATTCGGTATTTAAAATTTTGTTCCTTGAATTTATTAATGCGACGAAGGTTTTCTTAAATTTATGCTAAAGTCTTCTTTTTTTTAATTTATCCTAAATTTCAAACCTTTTTGTAAATTCTCGATGCCACAACAAAAATGATGGTCCGGAATGTGCACCGCTTCCTGATGATACCTGCGAATCACTTATTGTTGTATTATTTTTGCATTAATAAGTATGATTTATGAATATTCTTAGTTTCATATAAATTTGATAATATTTATAATATCCATTTGTATTATATCTTTTTTTTTGTTACAGGTTTTTTTGGTTTAGAAACTTTTGCAAAATCTTTTTGATAAGTAACCTTTGAACTTAGAGAGGTGTGGAATTCAAATTATTTTGATAGCTTTAGATGAAGAAAGATTCAGATTCAGTCTTCTTATCATTTAATAATTTAGGATTTTCGGATATTAAAGTATGAAATTATGGAATTTTTTAATTCGTAACTTTGAGTTTTGAAATTTCAATGCTGATTCATCCACATTTTAGCGTATTCTAAAAGTATTTTTCTTGAAATCAGCTAAAAGCGTTGAAATTCCAAAATTAATTATTTCAATTATGCTTTGAAGAATTGAAAAAAACAAAGAGGTTTCTTTATTATTTCTCAGGTAATATACCTGTTGATGTATCCGAGCCAAACGATCGTACTCTCCTGATGCTTTAAGTTGTCGTATTGCATTGAATAATCGTTCTCTTTCGCTATTACTCAACATACGAATTTCCTTCCGGATCGCTTGTTGCAATAATTGACCGTTTCGTAAATGACATTTTCCATACGGTGATATATTGCCCTACAAAACTAACCATTCTCAGAATGAATTTTGATCAAAATTTTATCTCTTCAACAATAATGATCTAATGTAACGAAAAAAAAGTTATTTTCTGTCTGTGGGAAAAAATCCATTTTAAAATATCCTAAATTGCAAAAGATTTTGAAACGATAATTTAAAATAAGAGAAAAGATAAAAAAGATTTTACCCCGAAATATGGACATAAGCATTGCAAATTCAGACAATCATAAACTGATGGAATAAATGAAGGTTGACGGGGTAATGCGGGAGAAAATGGATAATTGCGCGGAGTAAGAAGCGATAGACCTGTTCTTGCCGCTATATCGAATTGACGAAATTGATGACAAATTTCGAAAAAGCCTGATAATTATCTTTTATGTCTATTATTATTATTTCCTTAGTGATTATGATATTCATAATTTTGCAGCAAAAAGTATTTTTATTTAAATTATTGAAAATGCGCGATCATTCAAATAATTAGTTATCTTTTGATAGTGTTATAGTTATCCAATAAATTACAATAATTTTGCAAAGAATGACCAATAATATCGGACAGCAATTTTTCTTTATCATTTAATTTATCAGATAGTTAAGTGAATACATATACTTTACATTAATCAACATGGATAGTGTTTATGTTAATCAACATGGATAATGTTTACGTTAATCAACATGGATAATGTTTACGTTAATCAACATGGATAATGTTTACATTAATCAACATGGATAATGTTTACATTAATCAACATGGATAATGTTTACATTAATCAACATGGATAGCGTTCTCGTAAGTGATATTAAATTACTGAAGTATATTTTTTATATACTTAGCCTTACTTAGACATTATTTAAAAATTGCAATTAACATCTCTATTATAATAAATGAATTAAATTTCGCATTGAATATAAACTTGATCCAAAATTAAATTAAAAAAATTTTTGCTTTTTGAATATGCAAAAATATTTGAAAAATTAATTATAATAAGCAAAACAAGGTAAACAAATTAAGTAAACAATAAACAAACAAACCAGGAGGTACTTTATTGCAATCAATAGGTGACATTATTTGTTGTGATCGAGCTAATGTTATCATAAATATGATAACATTTATTAATTCGGATAGTAAAATTATCAAACAACTGTTAAGTGAAATCATTTTACATTTGATGATAATCTGAAAAATTATACTTTACATTAAAATAATTTTGATATGAGAAAATTGTCGAAACATAATTTATAATTTAATTAAATGATCTATAATTTAATTCGAAAATAATTTATAATTTAATTAAATTTTACTATAAATTATAAATTATAACAATTTGATTGTTTCCGAAAAAGTTTTGGTAAATATTATGAAAGTTAAAAAAATTGTTTTTTAAATGACAGCAAAATTTCTGACTAAAATTAATTAAATGAATTAAAATAATCTTTTAATTGAAATACAAACTGTTTCTTAATTTCAGCTATTTATGTAAAACAAATTTAATGAAAACAAAAATTCATTAATTTTTTCTTTTTTGTCATCAAATTATTTCTTTTTATAATTTGAAAGAATTAACTTTCTTTTCTGCAAAATTCCGACAGTTTGTTAAAACAATGCAAATTATCAAATAATTCGATTTAATTAATTATGTGAAACAATAGTTTGATATTTTTTGAAAAAACACAATAGTTTTTAAAAATTTTCTAATTTTAAATTTAAAGAATGGAAGAACAAAAACTCTTTTGATATTACTCCTTGCATAAATCAAAAAGATAAATTTCTTATTGAATAATACTGAAGTATTTGTGTATTTGATTTATTATGTTTTTATTTAAGTAATATATTTAAGATTTTATCTTTTTCATTAATTTCTTTTTTCATCTTTCATTATATGAGAATAAATGAAATCGATTAGATCTAAAGGAGGAATTTATAGTCAGATACGATCATCTTGATTTTATGAAATTAAATGTACAAATTAAATATGCAAATTTGGATTATAATATATTAAATAAAGTTAAAAAATCAAATATGTAAATTTAAATTATAATATAATAAATAGGTTAAAAAATTAAATATGTAAATTTGAATTATAATATAATAAATAGGTTAAAAAATTAGATATGCAAATTTGGATTATAATATATTGAATGTTTAGCATATATTTCGTTATTATTATTATAGCTCTTTATTAAATGCTTTTGAAATTAAATGTATAAATTAAATATGCAAATTTGAATTATAATATATTAAATAGGCTAACAAATTATATACTAAAATTTAAATTATAATATATTAAATGTTTAGCATCTATTTTTCATTACTATTATAACTATTTATTAAATGCATTTGATTCAATAAGATCGTCAAATTTTGTTTTTAAAAAAAAATTTATTATTATGATATTAGTTTAATTTTTTTGGTACTATTTTAAAAGTTGATCATATTTTCTTGCCACGATATTTCAATGACAATAATGATTTTACACCTCTTAATTGTTAAATGATATTGATAACACTGGTAATCTTATCGTTAATATGTAGCTTATCATTTGAGTTACATTTTATTTAAGACATTTTCAATTTAATTTAACATACGCTAATTATTCAATGATGACAAATACAATTTAACAATGATTCATCGTATTGGAAATAATTTTATTCAAAAATTTTCTCTTGCAATGCACTTAAGCTTTTTTTGTCGACGATCGAAACCAGGTAATATCAACAATACCTTCTCTATTAATAAGTTGACAAAAAAAAATCCATCCTACCATCTTTTTCAGTTCATCTTAATGAAGTATAAATAAACTCTTTTAATAACTTCATCATTTTATTTGATATTTAATTTCATAGTTAAACTCTACTATATATTTTATCATTACAGGTATTATTTCATGCCATGTCGATGGTGCAATTTAATGCATGGATATCGGAAATGAAATGTAACGAAATGAAATTAAATTAGGTATTACTTCCTGTCGATGATGCAATTTAATGCATGGATATCGGAAATGAAATGTAACGAAATGAAATTAAATTAGGTATTACTTCCTGTCGATGATGCAATTTAATGCATGGATATCGGAAATGAAATGTAACGAAATGAAATTAAATTAGGTATTACTTCCTGTCGATGATGCAATTTAATGCATGGATATCGGAAATGAAATGTAACGAAATGAAATTAAATTAGGTATTACTTCCTGTCGATGATGCAATTTAATGCATGGATATCGGAAATGAAATGTAACGAAATGAAATTAAATTAAATTAAAATAAAATAGAAGTGATACAGTGATACATGGAAGTAATAAATGAAGCTATGAAATGTATAAAATAATTAGTATTGTTTTGTTAACTTTTCTAATACTCAAAAAAAATTGTGAATAATAAAAATGAAATAAATTAAAGAAGTCAAAATAAGAGTTGCATTTTCAAGATAGCATGTAATTAAATAAAATTAGTAATTAATTTGTAGTTAAGAGTTACGAATTAATTTTAAATAAAATAATGGAAAGGTAAGTGATAAATTAATGAATTAATTTTTAGGTCATTATCATTTGAATGTGATGAAAATTTTTATTCCGAAATTTAAATGTCATTTCTAAATGCAATAAAAATTCGATATTCTAACTTCATGATGAACGAAAGAGGAGATGATAGATGATGTGGTAGAAAATGACATCTAAAAATTCTTTCATTTAAAGGACAGCTTTTTTGCTCCCAACAAATAAAGTTGGATTTATTAAAATAAATTATAATAAAAGGTTAATTAATATGATGAATTTGTAGGTTACACAAAAGTGAAATCTATTTTTAAATCTTTTTATTTCCTACCTGAAATGAATTCAATTAATGACTTTTGTAATTAACTGAAAAGAAGGAACTCTTTCTAAATTCAAAATTTGATGCAAAGAATGTAAAGGTAAATACAATTTGCAATATTTCTAATTATAAAATTTAAAAATTTCAATTTTTTAATTAGTTTAAATGAAATTTCTTAGGTAATTAATAAGTCTATTTTGTAGATAATTAATCAAAATTTTATGAAAAATTTCTTTCCTATTAATTAATTTAATCGTTGAATTTATTTTTTCATTGTTTCCACATAAAAATAATTCCATGACTCATAAAAGCTTCATTTAAATTGTCAAAAACTGAAAGTTTACAAATTTAGAAACTATAAAATAATATAATAATTTATTAATCATTGGAATGTAAAATAATTAATCGTTATCTTTATGCTTTCTTTATTGTTTTTTATAAACTTCTACGATAAACAAACACAATAAATAAATAAGTATTTCTAATATTAGATAAGTGCTAATTGCAAGAAGAACAATAAATATAATAAATATAAATTAAAATTAGAACAATAAATATAAATTAAAATTGTATTCGATGATTGATAATGAAGGAGGAGAGAAGTTCAGGAATTCGGGACAAGTCAGGACAAATCTTCTCTACTCTTCCTTGACCTGATCTATCTTCTAATCGGTAATTGATCTTATTCGTTATCATAATTATCAATGACACTTATCTGTGTCCTAAATTTTTCGTTTTTTCTAATGATAGAAATGAGAAATTTATCAGATAACATATAAAATAATCAATTCCATTGATAATATTAAAAATGAAAATATTGAAAGTGTTAGCTGTAAACATCATGCATATTTTATCATTTGTAAATAAAATAATTTCTTTTATAATATGACAAAATATCTTTGAGTGATTTATTATTAATTAAATAATTAAATGTTATAAAACAATGCTTTATTAATTAGTAACAAATTTTTTGTGATTTTTAAAAAGAAAAAAGCTAAAACAAAATTATTTATTGTTTGTTGCTAATATAAATTTGATTTATCAAATACTTCACTCATAGTTGTAAAAATTACAATTAGGAAATAATTATACAAATAGGAAAAAAAACAATTCAATTAATTTAATTCGAAAAAATTTAGCCAAAAATCAATAGACGCAAAAAAGAAAAGCTAAACAAATTTGAGGATACGACCAATCGTCTTTTGTTGGTATTACACTAACAAAATTGTCATTTCCTTCATTAATGTTTCTTTGTTTCTTCTTCCGTTCAACAACAAGATGACCCTTCATTTCAGCGATTAACAAATTTACAATCAAAAGTTGAAACCACCAATTCGCCTTTAAAATACAAAAGAAAAAATTGGGTGGTATATTCGACCTAAATGCTTGCGAGAAATATGAGAATTTAAGGAATGAGAAGAAAAAGATCAAAAAACTTCATAGAAAATTCTCATAAAGATTCTCAGAAAATTCATAGAGCTTTTAAAAAACTCAATCGTTGCATGTTTCATACGATGAACTGAAATAGTGCATAATTTAAAATACAGCGATTACGTGAAGTTTGCAAAACGCAAAATATCAGCGTTTTGTATTTCGAAAATTTCAAGTTCAATTTCAGTTATTATGTTAACATTTCCACCTGAGAGATTTAGAATGCGCCATAGCTTTATTTTAAAAAAGATCACCATCTCATACTTACACTCTTAAACATTTTAAAAGTTATACATCTAATAATCTCTACGATTATTTTATTTCCGAACAAAAAAAGAATCGGAATGCTATTTTAAACCATTTCAAACAACAATTCATGAAATCTCTTTACGTACACTATGATCAATAGATCGGTAACTTATACATTTCTCTAAGTAATGATATCAATTTCTCAGTTACATTAATTGTTCAAAAGAAAAACTTTCTTTTGAAAAAATAATTTCCTTGCTACGAAAGTTAGGAAATAACAAGGCGTCTCTTAGAAAAGTAAGAAAATAAAGGACACACATTGATTATTCTCACTTCGCTAATCAAATGATCACTAATACTATTCGAGCCAGTGCAGTATTCAAATGTTACTGAAATATGACTTCAAACTGATCAGTAGCTTGTACAGGTTTTTCTACCAGGTCAGTTCCTCTGTGTTCTGAACCTCCTTCTCTTACCACATAAAATTTTTTTTCTACGCCGATCGATAGCCACTTTTTTGTGCTCATTGCTCGACAATACGAAACATCCAGAAGAAGCATGTGAAGTCAGTATCATATTACCCGCTGTAAATTAATCTTATAACAATATTAGGATCAGAGTGAACTCATTGAAAAAGACACTACTTTAAGGCACTTACGTTTTTTGCTTATGATAGAGAAGAAACAAAATAAAGTGGGTAAAAAACGTATCAAATAAATCTGACTTATTTATAGAAAGTATGACAATAATATCACTAGCGTTCTTCAAGTACATGATGAAACAAGGAACTACGAGATCGCAAAAAACATAAAAAGACGGCACCTGACATAAGAGAATGAACACAATTTTTGTCAAAAAATCTGCTGAATAAGTGCTCACAAAAAATATGGTGCAACAATACGGTCTGGTTTTTCACGTTCACTATCACTGGCTTCGTCAAAATATTTTACTTGACGTTCATTTGAATTTATCTGGAGAATTGCTGCTTCATTCCCGCAACGATAGCAATAATTTGGCGCTGAAAAGGAGAATTTCCATCACAGTCACAACATTAATACGAAAGGTGTAACAATTAGAAAGACACGTATGATCTTTTAATATTTTTTTAAAAAATTAACTCATCTAAGCTAATCCGCTAAATGAAACAGTAAGAAATACGGCAACTTAATTCGATAATATTTTTCACTTTTTTTTATTTCCTTCTTTCTATTTTTCTACATGTTTGGAAATAATCATCAGCAATTCTTATACATGAACATGATAATACAAACAACTACATCAAAATTAATTGCCAACTTTATGTTTAAAATACCGAACTTTATGTTTGACAGCTGAAACCTCCAATGTGATACTAATGTCAGGAAAACACGAGAAAAAAATGAAAATATTACCAGACCACACGGTGCATAGCATATCATCCCAGATATATTTGAAACCCTCTAGCACCAACTGATGAGATCGGCATATTAAAGTAAGGTCATTTGTATGCATAAAACGTTTTGTTACTTCCTGACCGAAAAGCTGCAAATAACCACTATAGAATAATCAAGAGATCAGTGGGTCAAACCTCATAAAAATTGAAATTTCAATAAAATGAAGATTGAATTTAACAAATGTTTTGAAAAATTATGAATAACTAACCCATCCGGCACCTCTTGGACTCAATTCCCATCCCTCTTCCGTTGGCTCTGGATCAGACCATACCAAATCACATAAAGCACCTTTGCTTGGAATTTCAACAGCTCTGAAACAACTTATATATAAAAACAAGTTTATAACTTTTTCAATTTTTTTGATTTTTTGATCAAAATTCCACTTTAAAACTCACATAACTGATATACTTTCTTTACAGATAAAATAAGTTTAAAATGTAGAGTGTAGGATACATCAGTACTTGCTTTGTAAAATGTAATATATTAAATAGCGTTCATTTTGTAATCATCAGAATTAAATACCTGTCCAAAGTGAACATCTTTTCAAGAGTTTTGATCTCCGGTGACAATCCACCATGAACGCATAAAATGTGGTCATCAATTAGAGCGCCAACAGGTAACATATCAAACACCTAAAAACTCTGATGATTACAAAATTGTTTTATGACAGCTTTTACCACTTATTCCATCGACTAAATTTCGATTTCTAGCAATTCTAACCTTACAACAACAGCGCCAAACCATGGCATGCCCATATTTCTGTATACACTCATCATAAAATCCATAAACAGCTGAAATACGCCGAGATTCATGGTTTCCTCGTAAGAGTGTTATTGATTCTGGATATCTCAGCATTAAAGAGAACAAATATGTTAGAGTTTCCAAGCTATAATACCCTCTGAAAAACTACCAAGTTTTTATTAAACAGCAATTAGTGAAATGCAAAACAGCAAGTTTAAATTTGAACTTCAAAAGTAATAAATTATATTTAATTGTGAGTCTGTAAAAAAGGAAACAAACCTATCAACGTAATCTCCCATGAAAACATATTTTGTAAGTGGAACACGACCACCTGTTTCAAACAATTTCAATAAGTCATAAAATTGTCCGTGTATATCACCACAAACAGTCACTGGTGAAGCTATATCAACAACATTTGCTTCATGCGATAAACGAGTAGTCAACCTGAATGCAGAAATAACACAATCATAAAATGCGCCAAGAAAGTAATCGATGACTAGATTATAAAATTTAAGATATCCATTTAATACGAGTCAATATGATACAACTAAAAAAGCAATACCTATTCGGATTGCAATTATCTCAAATCTAAGATTTGTGACGGTCTGTAACTTTCAGTAAGGATTCAAATGTTGATGTTTTTCTTAAACTAGAAGTTCGGCTTCTCAGTACTATTTGCTAAATTTTTCCCAAAAATATTGAAGAAATTTACATATTACACAGTAGAATCATCTCATCTTCCGGCAAATACTGACACTTTGAACTTTCTTCTACCCATCTATCAGCATCAACGGTTAGCCCACGATAATGTAATTGACATTGCGCTCCATCACCATCACCAGCACCTTGTTGTTCCTCTCCTGCTTTGGTCATAATCTGAAAGTTCTCTTGTGGAAAATAATTTGATATTCCCGGAATCAGAAAAAATAGTTCGTGAAATATGTTTAGCATGTTGATGCTCGCAAGTCAATCCTTTCATTGAATGAACAATCTATTTCACTGAGTAAATTCCGCTGAAAAACTTCCATCATAACCTTTTAATAATAGAAATTATCCTTTAGGAAAAAAAATATGCGGAACTGACAAACCTTTTGGCGTCCACCTCTGCATGCTTTCCGAAACTTACTACTGCGTGAAAACCTATCCTTTTCCTTGGATGGATTCATTTCCTTGCATAAAATTACTTACAAGGTACAGGAAAGCACCAAAAGACTAGAAACTGATAAAGTAATCAAACTGTTCCGATGACTTATTAACTAGTCGTGCAACATCTTCTAATTTTCCTCAACCTTTTCAGTACCACAGCATCAATCCACCTTTTGACATAGTCCCAACACTCTTCCCACAACTCTACTTGAACACTAGACTAATGTAGATCATATCTATGAAAAACAAATAGCCATACACCTTACACAAAATTTCTAGAATCTACTATAGATAACTTCCTGTTCCCTCCCCCTCACGAACAACGTCTTTTTACTGATGCTAAAATCCAAATCTGAATATGATCTGTTGCAGAGATAGAAATAAGAGTGTATGGAACCTTAGTATTACAAATGACAAGTACATAAGATGAAGTGAAGATGGAAGGAAACTCACAGCGATCTTTTAAAAGGCGAGATTTCTAACTTGAGAATCCGTCATTTCAAAAAACCATCAAAGCATATTCATCTGCATCTTAGAAGTCACATGTTAAAAAAATAATGGAAGTGCATTGCTTAACAATACTCCCATATGGAGGCAGCCAAAAATTTAAAATCTTTTGTACAATGAATCATTTATTAATCATTTATTCATTTATGAATCATTTATTTTGCATATTCAAAATAAAGTATTTAAAAAAGTAAAAAATAGAAATTACTATCATGAAGTAGAATATTTCTACCCAGATACAGACAGAACACTAAGAAAATCATGGACAAAATGTAATAACAACAATGGAAACAGCACATAATACCAACTTTTTTTCACTGGACCTTCATGGAAAGAGAAGCATTCGTTTCCTTTATCAGCTCAATGCTTTAATGGATAAAAATACAATTGTAACAAGTGGAACAATTATAAAAAGCACTACTAATCACAATCACTGTACAACACCCACTTTTGCTGCACGAATAGGCCGATTATGCAAAGCGTAACCCGTTTTTACTACTTGTGCCACGCACCCAGACTCGAATTTTGCCTGAAACAAATAAGATACTAAAGTTCTAAAACCATTATTTATGATTTAAAAATAACTTTCTGAGACACACGCAAAGTATTTTTTTAGTACAGGAAAATATGAAGTACAAGATTCCTTTACAGAAAGTTCCTTTAGAACTTTTTGAAGAAAAAACCTAAATTGAAACATGGAAAGTTTAAAAAGGGAACCAATCTTTATAAACCTCAAAGATTAATAACAGAGAACAAAAATTTTCCAAAACACTATATAGTGAATTTTTTTGGGGTGAAAAAATGACTTACTTTATCTTTCGGTATTTGAAAAACAGCTTCATGAAATGTTGGATCGAACTTTTCACCCTCTGGAGAAATTTGTTTTAATCCATGATTAACGAATGTTTTCTGTAATACTGTTCTCGTCATTTCCAGTCCTTCGAACAAATTTTTTAAAGAAATATTGTTATTCAATTCTTCCTTCTTTACTGTACTCACAGCAAGATCAAGAATATCTGCTACCTGAAAAAAATCATGATTTTCTAGTCTAAAAGATAAACTTCCTTCTTGAAGAGATCAAAGAAGTAGATGAAAAAAAAACTTCAAGTAAATCTTTGCAGAATCCTTGGATAGCAAATACTTTTGCTTCTTCCGTTTGCTTATGTCCACGACGACGAACATTTTCGACTTCAGCTAACGCTCGAGTGTATTTGTCCTCAAAATTTTATTATATTATATCGCAGTAAAACGTCTGAGTACCCTCAAATTTTCAAGAAAAAAAACTTCAAGCTATCTCTAACAAAAGCATATGTGAACCGATTTCAACAGATTTTTTTAATCTATTAAATGGAAAAGTAAAACAGTATGGCAAAATATGAAACTGCAAATCATAAAATTGAAAGATCCGACATATAAAAATAGAAATCCAACATACAAAAATATTGAGCTTCTGCTCAATCTACGACATTTTTGCAATCAATTCAGTTTTTGTTGTAAGTTATGGAATCAACGATGTTATCAATAAACAATCCCTCAAATTCACCTTGAAATTAGCTACTTCCTCTAATAATATATCATATTCAGTAGCGAGAGCATCAAATGCAGGTCGAGGTATCACAAAGTCTTCAGTCTCCGAGGCACCAATCGATTCCTTTACTTTTGTGAGAAATTCAACACCTAAATTGAAGTCTTTTTTCAGCCACTATAATTTCTTATTTAAATATTCTTCAAATTTGGAATCCTTTCGAAAATAACAGAAGCAACAGAAGAATATATCAGCTATTCAGACCCATTTCCTTCTAGAAGGATCGAAATATATGCTTTTTCTTAGGTCAATAACTGATCATATTCATCTTATGAACCGTCAGTCAACGCGGTATTGCTTCATGCATTAATCCTGTCGTTTCAAAACTCCAGCTACATCATCTATTAATCAACATCGTATGACAAACTCATAGCTGAATTAAAAAATAAATACTTGTTAATCTTGAATTTTTATGTTTCAGAGAGAAACTCGATGCTTCATTCGCTCCTTCCTTTTGCACAGCTGCACTAAATGAAAAGCGTGTTGTTGAAGTCGGGAAATTATTCGAAAGCAATAACCTGAAATAAAATTATGATTAAAAGAAATTTAACGTTATTACACTATTTTTATGGTGGCTCTGTCATGGTACTATTCGTTTAATGTTCCTGAGAATGCGTAACCAAAAAAAGTTCTTCAAAAACAAAGAAAAGAAAATTTCTCGTTAGAGTACTGTAAAATGTAAACATAAATAATTTCCATATTTTACAATAACCTTTTACTCCATCTCTGAGATTGAACTATTCTGCACTATCATCTACTCCTATCCATGTCAAAGGGTAGCAGAAAATGGAAAGTAAATATCTTCACTATTCGATGATACTCGCTCAAATTTGTCCATTAATGATGAAATGTGTACGTTTGGATCACACGATGAAGCTTCATCGTGTGATCCAAATTTTCAGTAAAATCAACAAATTAAAGATGCAACCTTTTATTGGATCGTGTAATTGCTCGTGCTTCTGTTCTAACTACACGTATAGCGCTGAGCAACGTAGAACAGGTACGTTTGATCATAACTATTTCAAGCTGCGTGAATGTTCCTCTTCGGTTATATGAAACTTGCAATTATTACTGACTGCAGCGGATCAACAAAAGCCAAAACGCTAAGCGGATTGCACTGGTCTCCCTCCCTTCCCCGCAATCCAAAGAGCCCTAAAAGTCACCCCAAGGAGAAAAGATGACAGGACTACCAAACTAACGTTTACCATCTGCATTGATCATTCAAGTTGCATTAAACAGCGTAGTCCCACAACGATGTCGACACTTTTCTTGATCTTTTTCATTTCTTCTCTCGTCCTCCTTTATCTTGCTCTTCTCTTCCTTTCTAAGTAATTAATCCAATGTATCTTCTGGTGTGCGACGTATGCGACTTTTTGTCAACTAGGAAATTGCTCTATACAGGGATGCATAGACACTTCATGTTTATTTGCTGTGTTTCGAATTCACGTATACGTACGTTACCTAGAATTTACATATACCCACTAACTTGTTGAACTACCTTTATGATGTCATCTTTAAAATTCATGAGGAATTATGATTTTTCCATTTCCTGTTTAATGTTATATATTTTTAAATAAATGTTGTTGTATTATATACTATTTTAATGTCCATTCTTCGCTCTATGTTTTATTAATTACGTATTCCAGTTTATTAAAATGATGTTAAATAAGAACTATTTTGAACAGTTTTAATTATTTGAATTTAAAATGAATTATAGAGCAGCAATAATAACTGGTGGTGCCAGCAGAATTACTTACTATATATGCTTTGTAAAATTTCTTGAACTATATGAGAAATTCCTTTTGGTAACGTGATTTCAAGTTCATCGAAAATTGGCAACTACAAGTTGATAGGAGCGCTAATCCTCCTCCAGCTGCATGAGAGTATAACGTTAGTCGTAGAATTTATCAGATGATTAGAAACGTACAGCAAACGGTTGTGTATATTTAATAAAGTATAATTGAATGGTGCAAATTTTAGATGCAATATTAATAAGTGGTAGTGTTGTAATTCTGTTAAAAATGTTACTTCAACGAGCTGAAAAATCAATCTGGCAAAATTCGATCCGTTTTTTACGTAACAACAAAAAATGGTTACCGAGACAGGAGCCAGAAACATTTGAAAGTAAGTTTAATTGACTGAAGTTTAGTAAAGGAATGTTTAGATTGTTGCGTGATTAATGTAAATCTGGCGGCAGTAACTCAGATGTATTACACTCGAAGCAGTTATTGAGATTGAGATAGATTGAGATTCTGTTGAAGCAAAAATAGACGTTACCATTTCAGATGTTGTTTTCCCACCAAACGGAGAGTACAAATTGCCAGTTATGCCCGAGGAGCCGAATTACGATCCCGCATTAGGTGAACAAAAATTCAAGTCGTCGAAGCAGCTCGTCAGTATCCGTGGCGTCGAGGAAATACACACAGAATTGATCCACAAACAATACGGCCTCGCTGCTGTTGGTGGCGGCTTCATCAGTGCATATGATTTCAATTTTATTCGTGTAAGTTAATAAATTTATTATTTTCTAGCAAAGTGTTAACTTTACCAATTAGTCTTCTTTATCAATTACTTTTACAAAGGAAATTATATTATTGGCTTAATATTTTTCTAATTTCTGTTACGCATAGAAGGTAATGTGATTGAAGTTTCAAATTTATATAGTCCGGATTTATCTGTAGGACCGCTTGAATAGAAATCTTTTAAAAAATCAATTCGCAATATGGAGAGTTCCGGCGCCGTGGCTTCCACGTACGAAGAAGGCAATTGGAGCGAAACCGGGTAGTGGTAAGGGGAATATACACCATTATGTTACACCTGTTCGAGCAAAGAGAATTATTCTGGAAGTCGGTGGTTATATTATGGAATTGGAAGTATGTTTAGAATGAATTCATATTTACGTTAAATAAGTATTGCAAAAGTGATCTTTTTCTCTATACTATTATGGACGTCTATGTTTCCTTTTATATTAGAAAGTAATATAAAAATTGAGTTGACAGTTAAAGCTAAGAGGTCAGGTCAACTGTTTTTAGAACTGTGTTACTTTTATAACTTAGCCTCCAGTCCTGTCTTTGAATGACTCTCTTTGAATGAGGCATCGTTTCTTTTTATTGAAGGGAAAGTATCAGTTGCTGAGGAGTGTGCGGGAATGAAATGAGACATGCCACCTAAATTTTATTGTTAAACATTTGATAGTTCATGTTTTTACTCCGTAACAATTATAATAACTCTTACCTAATCAACTTCATACCAATTAATATTCTACTTTAGGCGAGGGCTTATCTGATGTATCTTTGCGAACGGTTTCGTTTTCCTGTGGAATTTATTAGCGAGAAAATATTGGAAGAGAAGAAACTTCAAGAGAAAAAAATTGAGCAAATAAATGTTAATAAATTTAACTGGGATTTAGTTTTGAAATATAATATGCAAGATTGCCATAGGTGGCTATCGTATTACGATATTGCTTTTAAATGCAAATATACTTAGCATTTATGAAGATTATATATTTCAAGTTTAAGGTTGGATGTAATTATTTATTGGCGACTATTTTTTCACTAGTTTTCTTAGTATTTGTCATTGTTGTGTTTGTATATTTCGGGGATAAAATATTTCTTCAGTGTGAAGCTGAGAAAGTTTGTTTGTTTTATCACCATAGATATACTTGGTTAGAAAAACTCTAACTAGCAGCGAATATTACAAAGATATACAGGTAACACCGTTGTGAAAATTTATATTGTCCAACAATCGGAATCAAATTTATTGTTTTGAAATTTAATAGGGCTTTTAATTTACAGTAATGGATCTCAGATGGCATTAGTGGGTGAGGAAGAATTGCTCTGTTTTTCATTCCGATGGTTTGTTCTCGTTACGGCATGCTTACCTTTCACTGCCTTATTTCTTTGCATATCATTAGCATTAGTATTACATCTGGATGAATCTACTCGAACTCATTGTGGTGTTGTAAATTATTTGCCATCTATATCGGCTGCCGTCGCATCTTTTTCACCAGAGCGCTACGTTTGGCGATTTTTTATCGCTTTACATTCCGCACCTCGTATTGTGGAGGCTGTAGCATTTAAGTAAGTTTCCTTATTTGCTGTTGTATTCCACTCATTTCTTCGATAATTATCTACTAATTTATCATTCATATTGTCTGATTTCATTTCTTTTTCTTCAACAGAAATCTACTGTTGACATCTCCGCTGCGGCCGTTGAATGATCGTATATGGTTCGAATTAGCTTGTCAAATAGCATGCTTTGTAAATATCGGTGAAAGTTTATTTCTTCTTTTGTTAACTGCTGTTTCATCCACCGAAAATCATGGTACGGTTTATTAAATTTGCATTCATTTCATACAGTATGAGTTATTTATACAGTGCAGAATAGTTATTTCAAGTATGAATCAAATCCGTTTTTTCAGCTATCCACAAAATATCGTTTCTCGGATTCGCTCTCTGTTCAATAATTTATATGTTGATTGCAACGAGTCTGTTTCAGTATTCTGGTAGACGTCGTACGTCATCATTAGTGAGTCTTTTTTCTGTTCTTTTTTTCGATAAATTCTGCATTAGTTATGTTTAAAAAAAATGAAATATGATAAAGCACAGTAATCCAATGAATCAGTTATATTTGGAAGGAATGTTACCATAGCGGAATTCTCCGCGCTTATTTAATATATCTAAATTATTTGCTTTTCATTAGTGATACTGATATATTCTTATTTTTTTTCCTTATTCAGGGCGAGAAATCATTCCAGTACAAAGTACTTATGTGTTCCATATCGACGTTATCACTTCTACTCGCCGTATATTTCTTCCAGCGTCATAACACTTATTGTGAACCTGGGATATATACGCTATTTGCTATTTCTGAATATGCTGTTGTATTATCTAATGTACTTTTTCACTGCACCCTACTTTTTGATTTTCACGGAAAGCATTTTATTTTGACTTCTTCTGGCCCAAACTTTCATTACCAAGCACTATTGCCAGAATTTAATGCTAGCAAACGTTCTGCTTGATAGTTTTTATTACGAATGTTTGGAAAAATCCTAGTTCAAATATTCTTTCTTTGTTACAATTTTGTAAAAATTTAGAAGACTTTGGTCATATTATAAGCTTTTCTTGTTGATTATTATATTTACACTTGCTATAGGTTTCATCAGTTCTGTGATATTTATAATATGGATTGCCTACATGATTCATTACTGTGATGTTCCTTGTCTAATAAACGTTATTAATCCTCTTTCCTTTTTAAATAGTTTCGGAAATATTCATCCGATAATTTCGATTCAAAGCATATCTAAAACTCTTTCTTGTAAACTTTTGGTCTTAATTTGGTAGATTTTAATATAATATTTGTTTTCCCGTTTCAGAAGCCATTGTCATGGTGTTTTTCAGTTGCGATGTATGTAATGAAGCATTGAAGAAAAGTCAAATTAACAAGCATGGATTCAGATGCAGGTATATTTATTTTTTTAATGAATTTTTAGTAGTTGCTTGTGTGTGCATTTTCTGAATTACAAATTAGATATAACATTGTTTTTTTAGGTTCTATGATCCGAGGCATTTTATGCAAAACATTTAGTGTCATGTTAATCGAAATGTGCTTGAGCATCTAGTGCTTAAAAATTACCAAGTGTTTCTATTAAACTTGGTTTTAAAAAAATATGGTTATACTTTAGCTGCTAGTGAGCAATAAATACCAATTTCTTGAAAATGCTGCATGGTGACCAATATTTAGGACAGAGCAGGCTGTGAGAATCAAAGAGAGGTTTCTTTTCGGAGTTATGAATAGGGATCTAGGAAGGGCACCATGACCATATATTTCCGATCTTGAAAAGATTATGCCTATTTTATAACCACGAAATAGTGTTTGGTAAAGCTTCTATGAGTGATCAGTTTTTTCAGAAATTTGATTTGGATTGAGGAACTTATTTTTTAGAGAAATATTTCAGAAATGCAACGTATTCGTGTTTGGATTGTGGCCAAGCCTTTTCTATAGGAACCTATAAGAACCATATCAAATGTGTCACAGAGAATAAGAAGTATGGTGGCAAGAATTATGTTGAAAAAGAAAACAAAGTAGGTTTTATAATGCTAGCATTTCAATAAGCTTCGTGGTGTTTCAGAATATTTTAACAGCATCCGAAATATTGGTTTGCTCAATTCACATAAATTTTAGGGCGAAGTAAAGCAAAGTCGATGGATTGAGCAAGTAGAACGAGCAATAGAAAATGTTACTGATAAAGAATTAAAGGGTCTTCTGCAACAAATTCATGGTTTCAACAATATACCAAGAAAAGAAGCGAAATTCATAAACTTTTTGCAGAATTCCATTAAAATGTGGAATCGAGATCTATGTGTTAAGGTAAAGCATTTAAAGGTTGATTGTGATTGACAGTAAAAAAGAAATTGATAAATCCGTCATGGTTTCTCCATTTTTTCGTTTTTCGAAAAATTGTTTTAACCAGTAAGTTACTTATAATATATATGTTATAATTCAGGCATGGAAGTGTATAAGTGAGCAAGCCCAAAAATTACAGCGAGAGACTAAGAAAATAGAATTGAAAAGAAGTGGTAAAAGTTGTAATAGTCTAGACGATAAAAAAGGACTTGAACAAGAAGCTTCAAAAAGTAATGGTGAGAAAGTGGAAGAAATCGAGACTGAGAAAAAGGAATTGAAGGAAAATAGTATGTGTGAGGATGATAACAATAGTGCCGAACAGGTACGCATTGCAAATCATTCGTTTGTAATAGAGCGATTTTGCTTAATTATATTGAAATTTATTTTTTTATCTTCTATCATAATTTATGGAATTTTTCCGTTTAATTTAGAATGAACAAGAAGTGAGATGATAAAAGTAATGATTACAGGGAACATTAACAACCGATGATGTGAAGAAGTTCAAATGGAAACGAGCAATTAAACGAGCTTTAAAAGAAGCAGAAAATGGACAAATGAAAGTGAGGCAGTTGAGGAGCAAAGTTATCCAAAGTTATTTGGCAAGTGGTCAGTTTAATGGAAGTGTTGAAAATCTGGAAACCATTTTTAATGCTAAGTTATGTTCCTTAGGTTTACATATTGATAATAAAACAGTACGATTAAATTAATTAAGTGTTATCAATGTCTGTTATTGTCATTGTTTTTACTGTTATTGCATGTTATTGCATTGTGTGGGCTTCGTGCAAAGAAATTCTTCCTTTATTAAAGTTGTTATTAGGAAACGTAGAATTTATTGTTTTCGCTAAATGCCACTTTTTTGATGAATTTAAACTAATTCAAATCAAGTGTTGAGAACCGATTTCAATTCATTTTATGAGTACTACGACTCCGGGAACAGATTCCATGTTAGTTTCATTGAAATCTTGAATAGTTATTCTTTTTCCGGTGGCTACAGTTGTTTTCATTCATATTCTTCATAATAAAAGTAGAGCGTAACATTTGTTGTAATTTTTGTTCATGTTACCGTTCGATGTGATAACTTTATTCGTTATATAGGAGGCTGAGAGGAAAATCCTGTAATGAATGTGGAAGGTATTATTAACTAGATGATTCTACACACATATGTCATGGAAATTGTGGCTTATACATCTTTAATATAAATTTCATTTAAGTAGGACCAAACGTCTAACATGTTTCATGCCAAAATGGGAGCAGTAATACTACTAGGATTTATTATTAGCTTATTACCATGTAGTATTTATTCTCTGCATGATTCATATGACTTAGATAACGTTTTAATCTTCATAATTAGAGCCATGCACACAAATTAAGATAAGAAATATTTCTTCGCATCTTTTTTCCTGATATGTGTTGCGCTCTCTTCTTTATCATGCGATTATGTAGCTTCCCTGAAAAAGTAATAAATTCTTTAATTTTTTTCTTAAAGAATTGTGACTGTTTGATTTTAGCGGTATTTCTACCGTTAGTTTTTTTGGATCAGTGAATGAGGGTCAAAATGTAGTCATAAAATTGACTAAAGTTTTCATTATCCTTTAATAGCTCTTAAGGAAATATGTGTAGGAAAATTTGCTTGCAAAAAGCTTTCTTTTTGTTTTAGATCTCAAACGATTTCCTGATGATATAGTCTATGCGTTTAAATTTTTATCTGTGATAATTCCTTTGCCTTTCTTTTTTTGTTCCTTTTCATTGCATAACATGAATTTTCAATCGTTCAATTATAAATTATTGGAGAATCATGGCTGCTTTGATTTACGATCATTTTGGAATGTGGAGTGAAGACATGGAAACTACAAAACCGGCTCAGGAATGGTGTTGTAATGATTATGACGGACCTATCGCGTCATCCCTTTTTGGCTTATGTTTACGATATTTCGCATTAAGATACGAAGAGATCACTGGTCTGCCAAAATCTATGATCCAGAAAATTGAAATGTTGAGACATGATATGAACATTGTCTCAAAAATGCATCAAACACATGTTATATTCAAACTTTCCTGGATCGGCGTCGGGAAGTATGGCAATGTAGATTGGCGTAAGACATACGCAAAATGCTATCGCGAAATGCCACCGGATGATTTTTTCATATTTGCAGCTATTAATGGAATTGCTACCAGGGTAAGTAGTTGCATTAAGAATTTAGAATTAAAGTTATATTGATAATGTTCACTTTCGGATACACTAACCGTGATATAGCTTTGTTACATAAGTTATGTCCTAGCATTTTACATTGTGAATTATTTTGCTCGTTCGGACTTAAAAAACAAAAAGCATTCATTATTATCAAGTTGCTGGTTGGTAAAGCTGTTATAAATTTATTTTCGTTTGTTTAAATTAAAATTGTAGTTAGCGGAAAATTTTTCTTATGGATTTGGCAAATGTAGTGAATAGACGGATGTTGGGGGATAAGGATTTGAACTGATGATCGAAAATTAAAATTTTGAAATTGTTTGTTATTAATACGGTAACGGACATTGTGAATTACTTATGAGGTACATTGCAACACTCGCCTTGATAAAATATTTTAATTTCGGTAGTGATAGTTAAAGATAAAGTTAAACTGACAGAGGCTGTAAGTTCATTCCCCTTTTGCGATACGTTTAATCGTTTTAATTGCGCTTTTCTCCTCCTCATTTCGCCATTATTCAATAATATTTCTTAATGGGCGTGAATTGCCTCAAATAATTTAAACTGTTAAATTTGAAGAAAATGCTAGATAAATTTGAAACAATTTTCGTTGAAAACTCTGCCGAACTAATTAGTCGTTATATAGGTAAGTTGGAAAGGGCTATATAAATTCATTGAGAGTTCAAATATATTGAAAGGACTATTGAAGATCGACTGTTTGGAATTTATGAATAACTGCACATTTTCAAATAAGCATTGGGAAAATTGACGATGTATGGATCGATTGTTTGGTTGGTTAATATTTTAGATAGCATCTTCAGACATATTTTCGCAGTTCTCATTTCTTTTGCAAAAAAGAAGCGTTCATCTAAATCTAATTAGCATAAACAAAGCATATTGTGGATGTTGTCATTTTTCTTTGTTTTTTTCTCTTTCATTTTTCTAATTAATTTGTATTGCTCTCAACTTTATTTTATATTTCAATTAATCGTATTATTTTCATTTTTATACCTCAAGCGTAGACATGAAATTGAAAACGATATGATCGCTTAGAATATAGTTTCTAATAATTAATACTACATGAACCTTTTTGCTACTATAAACCACTCACAATTTAAACTGAACATTTGAACGTGTGTGTGTTTGCCCTTCAATTTTGAGGAGAATGTTTCCTATTCATTAACTTGAAATGGGATGACAATAGGTTACTTGTTTAAATTTAATTGTCTTTAAAGTTCAAAGTTAGTACAAGTCATGAAATTTTTTTCGGCAGAATTCTGATCTCGTATAAAATCTTATCCCTTGTGGAGCGTTGATTTATCTTTTTTGCTGCAATTTTTTTTAAATTTTGCGAGAAAAATCAGAGACACTTGAAAATGCTTGAAAGAAGAACTAGGATTAAACCTTATTTTTATTGGAACGGAAGTGGAAATTAGTGACATGTTATAGGATTTGCTGTTTAGATTGCGCTTGAATGTTATGTTGTAGATTATGACTTTGAATAATTTTGAAGATTGCCAAATTTGCCCCATAATGACATACTTATAATGATATCTGTAGGGGATTTGATGTTCAAAATATAGAATTTTTGGCAACAGTGGATTAACATTGAAAGAATCAAATTAATTTCCTGACTATAAAGATGCTAAAATTTCAATAAATCCAGATAATTTCTAGTAATTCGTCGGCGAATTTTGGTGTATTTTATTATAGGCTTTGTGGAGACGATTGGATGAATTAGAGAGGCGGCATTTGGCAAATTCATATAGTGAAGTGATAAGATACACGGCAACTCTAATGTTTGATCCTGCTGTTTTTAATTTAGTTCAATATAAAACTATATTGGTCGCGGCACAAAATGGTTGGCCAGGTGCAGTATGCGCTTGGATTGGCATGCGAAATAATACGCTAAGTAATGTTGATTATCTAGAAGAACTGATCGAAGATTTCAACGATTCGGTTGTTGAAACACCCGATTTATCACATGGGAATAATCTTGGAAAGGCTACGCTGCTAGCTATTCGTGAGGGACAATATCATTTGCTTCGTTATTTACCGAACGTGAATACTGCTGATTCATTTGACTTTTTATTCACGGATGGTCGTGTGTCGTTCGATTTTTTCCAACAATTAATTAATTTTCCAGCAACTGAAAATCTGTTGAACGATAAGCTGAGCGATTACCTAGAATCTATCGCGCGAGCTTTACTTACCTGGATGCCAGATTCGGAGGTTCAACGTTTGCAACAAAAGGGGAATGCAGTTGGAGATATTAAATCTATAAATTGCATTAATCGAATCTTAAATGGGAATGATAAGTAACATAAATGTTACTTTGAATATATTTTGTAAATATTATTAACAAGTTAATGAATTGTTCATGTAAATAAGAAATATTTTACTTTGCATCAGTTGTTATCGATACATTTTTGGAAACATTTTAATGCATTTGTAATGTCAAAGGTTGTCGGTTCGAAATAAAAACTTATTGATTAGGCTACATAAAGCTGTCGATATGTGTATGCTGGAGTACATGTGTGTATGTGTGTATGATGTCTATGTGGAACGATGGATTTTAAAGCTATCATAACGCGCAACACACGCGGTACGCAAAGCTTGCGCCCAATCAATCTGGTAGATACATGCGACGCGGTTACTGCTTTGTTCAATACTTTGGCAACAACGATGGCCTACGGTTACATGAAATTGCTATTTTATGGTCATGATGTACTACTACTGCTGATTTGTGAGTTGTAAGTTGCAGCAAATATTGTGGTTGCAAACGATAATTGTCTTCAATCAACAAATGATGACACGATCAGCTACATGTTTGTTCTGTTTTATTTTGTTCCTCATTTTTTTTCATTCATTTTCTTGTTTAACTTATTGCTAATTAATGAAAGAGAACAAGGATGAGAAAATTATAAGAGTGTTTTTATGCCTCATTTTACTGAACATCAAAAGTAGTGGCTTTGTTGTTACTGTTGTTGCTACTATTGTTGTTGTTATTGTTGTTTTTGTTATTATTGTTGTTGTTATTGTTGTTGCTGTTGTTGTTATTGTTATTGTTGTTGCTGTTGTTGTTGTTGTTATTGTTATTGCTGTTATTGTTGTTGTTGTGAGAATGATGGAGATATTAGACTGTTGAAAAGATGATGAAGAAATGAAAGAAATGATTTCTTTTTGTAGTTGCTTATATCACTCTGCATAAAAGGAATAATAAGAAAAACATCGGGAAGGGTGGGGAACGTGATGAAGAGATGGAAAGATTGTTAAAATAAATAGATCACTTATTTTAATGATACAAATAAAAGAACAGAAATATATGATCTCAAATGAAATGCATTTCATACACATACATATATGTATATATAAAATAAAACACTGCAATATTTAACTCCTGATAAACTTCGGATTGGTGATATATGAATATATAAATAGTAAGTAGCCGATGTAAACGTAGATGAAGGCGTGATCGTGATTGGCAGAATGAGGAAGAACTCCGCCTTGTTTATTTGCAAGAGTAAAAGGATATGCCCTCTCGGTAATCCTTTATATATAGGGATAGTTGGAGTAAAAAAAAACCTGATCCAGGTTCCAATTACAATCTATAAACTTAACAGCTCATTTGATCTATTTTACTGATCATCATCGATCATTCTCCATTTGTTCAGCATGGCTTATTTGTTGAAATACTATACCTGTTAGTTAACAAATTTTCTTTCTTACAATATTATCGTATTACTCATTATTACTCATAACAAATAAGTAAGAGTTACAGATGGACAAATTTCTTGTCAAATACAGTATATAT